TTCCTGGGGACTTCTGGACCAAAGGCGTGGATTTCGGGCCCGACGTTGCCAGTGGGGGTGGTTTTGCCAGCGGTCAGGCCCCCGACTGCTGGAGCAGCTGCTGTCCTCAGTTGCTGTGAAGCTGCTCTGGGATGACCCCGATGTGGCCTGACTGTCAGGATTGGAGCCTTCTGACGGCTACAGAGAACCCGAGAGCACCAGCACCAACGCAGGCAGCCTGGTGCTACCAGGGCTGTCTCCCAGTTCTGCACCACTGGAGACCATCAGCCCCAGCACCAGTGCCCAGCTGTCAACCGCTGGATCTTCAGCACCACAGACCAGCAACTACAATACCAACCCCCAGGCAACATCGGAGCAGTCTCTGCAATCTCCTTCACAGGAGACGAGCAGCTCCAGCCCTGACAGTCAGGTAACATCGGGGTCATCCCAGAGCAGCTTCACAGAAACTGAGGACAGCAGCTGCTCCAGCAGTCGGGGGCCTGACCGCTGGCAAAACCACCCCCACTGGCAACGTCGGGCCCGAAATCCACGCCTTTGGTCCAGAAGTCCCCAGGAAAGGACCCATGTACCAGCACCAAGTCCTGGGAGGTGCAGGCCCAGGCAGAGAACATCAGAGACATCCCGCAGGCGAAACCGCTCCCGCCTGCAAAATCAGAACCCAAATCCATCCAACCATTCCAGAAGTCCCCATGACAGCAACTGCACGCCAGCACCGAGTGCTGGGAGGGGAAACTCAAGGGAGACAGCAGCCAGGACTTCGCAAAGACACCACCACTCCCACCAGCAGCGAAGGACCTCAAATTAATCCAGCGGATCCAGAAGTTGCCGTGACAGGAGCTGTGTTAGAGCACCCAGTGCTGAGAGCTCCACTCACCAGTGGGACGGTGAGACAGGGACCCACTGCTGACACGTCCCACGTCAGACAGGGAGGAGGAGCCCCCCAAAGGGAGGGAGCCAGGTGAGAGCAAAGTGCCCCTCTCTCAGCCTGGCAGAGGGGCTGTCAGGGCGGGCAGTACAGGTGCCATGACCAGGCCAATTGTCTCTCTCCCCTCCAGCATGCCTGCTGTGTCGGCAGTCAGAGGCTGACCCGGACATATGTGGGGAAAAACACCAGATAAATCGGCCCTGTGCCCATGAGTTCTGCCTGGTGAGTTGCTCTGTGGGCTCCCTCCACGTTTTGACAGGCAGTCCCTGCCACTCTTTCCGCATGAGTGCGTGTCGTTTTTTCTACAGTTTTTTGCCAGCCACCTTCCTCTGCACAATGATGATCAAGTAGGATTCCAGGGCTTTCTCCTAAGGGATATCCTACATGCAGTCAACTGAGCAGCACAGAAGGTGAGAGCCTGACAAGAGCAGGGAGATTTGGGCCAGGCGAGGTTTGCTAGAGCTCAGCCCAGACCCCAAGCAAGAAAGCCCAGCCCTTCCAACCAGCTCTGGGAGGAGGAGGAGGCCCTGAGGCTGCAGCTGATGGGGCTGCTCTGCTCTTTCCAGAGCTGCTGCATCTGTGGCCAGAGCGGGGCCACCATCGCCTGCTGGGATGGCAGAGCGGGAAGGGCAGGGACACCCTCCACCTGCCCAATGCCAGGGCAGAGGGAGCTCATCAGTTATCCTTTTCCCATCAGACCACCATGAGTGGAGGGATTTAATGCATTTGCCCAGCTAGGAGAGAGACACAGGCACTGCAATGCCAGTGAGTGCCTTTTTCCAGGAGGCAGGCAGGAGGCAGAGGAGGAGGGGTAAGTTGCCAAAGCTGCACCCCAGGGCTCTGCAGGGCTTGAAGCAGAAGGACCCAAGAGAAGAGCTCAGCCAGATAATCCCACGCTTTGGACACTTTGTCCTCACCTCCATGAACCCATTTCCTTCCCCAGGCCCTGGGAACTGCTCCTGTGCTACTCCTGTGCTGCCGAGGGCACCCACAGACACTGCTCTGGCCTGNGGGGCACAGCAGGGGCTCAGCAGCACCAGGGCCTCACTCTGGCTGATTGTGTTTCTCCTGCAGAGACTGGCTCTGCATGATGGACTTTTATCCATTCGGTGCCCCGTCTGCAGAAATTGTGACACATTTCACAGGGATATGTTCACCATGGGGATCCGAATCCCCTTCAGGTTGGTGTCCTTCTGCCTGGCTCACAACACAGGGGGTGCAAGTGCTGTGCCATGCCAGGGCCTGCCCCAGCAGTCCTGGCCCTGCCCTGTTCCGTGAGTCCCGGGTTCAGCTTCCCGCAGGAGCTGGAAATGGCACAGGGGGAAGGCAGGGACACCCGGCACCTGCGCGATGCTGGGGCAGAGGGAGGTCATCAGTTTTCCCTTTTCCCATCAGACTACTACCACCACAGGAGGACATTAATGCTTTCGCCGAGTTCGGAGAGAGACACAGGCACTGTGATGCCAGTGAGTGCCTTTGTCCAGGAGGCAGGCAGGAGGCAGAGGAGGAGGGGTAAGTTGCCAAAGCTGCACCCCAGGGCTCTGCAGGGCTTGAAGCAGAAGGATCCAGGAGAAGAGCTCAACCAGATAATCCCATGCTTTGGACACTTTGTCCTCACCTCCATGAATCTGTTTGCTTCCCCAGGCCCTGGGAACTGCTCCTGTGCTCCTCCTGTGCTGCCGAGGGCACCCACAGACACTGCTCTGGCCTGAGAAACAGCATAACCCGATGGGAATGTGATGGCTGTGCTGGTCTAGGCACATGTAAGAGGCAAACAAACCTGATGACCCTGGGCCTGGTGCCCCTGGGCCTGGCAGTGGGTGCCCAGGGTGGGTTTGGCAGAGCCGCACTGCTCTGGCCTATCTTGTCCCAGGTCTGGAACAATCTTGTCCCTCCTGCTTCCCCTCACAGCCTCCCGAGATGACTCAGGGCTTGGTGGTGTCAGCGTAGCCAGACAGTCAGAACTGGAGCCTTCTGACAGCTCCAGGGAATCTGAGACC